TCTATTACTGAATGATAAGCTCGTGGTTGAAGTTGCAATGTTGCGTCGCTTGGCTAGTGCGCTTTAGCCATTGGCTAAGGAACCGGAAAACTTCTTCGAGTGTACAAGCATTAACCACAGAGGAGCTACAAGAAGCAACCCTGCTAATCATGAGGTTAGTCCAGGCTCAAAGTTTCGCTGAAGAACTGAGAGATCTCAAGGCCAATAAGAAAGTAAAGAGCTCCAGCAGGCTTGTGAAGTTGAAACCGGTGCTGGCGGAGGGGGTTCTTCGTGTTGGAGGCCGGCTGAAGGAGGCAGTTGTACTGTCTTACAACGAAAAGCACCCAATCATACTCCCAAAGAAACACAACGTTAGTCAGCTGACTGTTCGCTGCTGTCACGAACGTCTGGCCCGTGCTGATAAGGAGCAGACCCTGGCGCAGACGAGGAAAATGTTCTGGATACTCGGAGGCAAAGGATTGGCGAAGAGCATCATTAGAAATTGCTTCAAGTGTCGCCGGTTGAATGAGAGACCAATGAAGCAGATCATGGCCCCCTTGCCTAAAGAGAGATTAGAACCGTACAAACCACCCTTCACGTTCTCCGGCGTCGATTTCTTCGGGCCACTAATGGTTAAATGGGGCCGCGGTTCAGCAAAACGCTGGGGATGCTTGTTTTCTTGTTTAACAACGAGAGCCGTTTTCTTGGAGCTAGTGCCGTCATTGGAGACTGACGATTTCATTATGGCCTTGCGACAGCCGAAGGGGACCCCCCCGAGGAAATCAGATCGGACAGAGGGACCAACTTTGTTGGGGGGAACGTGAATTGCAAGATGCAATCAAAGGCTGGACCAACATTAAGATCTACCAAGATTTGCAGCAGAAAGGAGTCAAGTGGACTTTCTACCCTCCTACGGCGGCGCACATGTCCGGAGTCTGAGAAAGGCTGGTGCAGAGTGCAAAGAAGCACCTGAAGGCTATCGTGGGAGATAGATTGCTAAGTGAATTCGCGCTGCGAACTTTGTTCACCGAAGTGGAATTCATCATGAACAACCGCCCGATTGTAGCAGCCTCGGACGACCCTGCCGATTTGGAAGCATTGACCCCCAACCACTTCTTGCTGCAAAGGAAGGTGACCGGATTGCCTCCAGGGGTTTTTGTCAAGGAAGACCATTTGGGAAGGAAGCATTGGAGAAAGGTCCAATACCTAACCGAGATCTTTTGGAAAAGATGGATCAGCGAATATTTGCCGACCTTGACTGAAAGAGAAAAGTGGCTCAAGGATCAACGAAATGTTAGAGTTAGAGATCTGGTGCTCATCATGGAAGAGAATGTTCCCCGTAACAAGTGGAGTTTGGGTCGTGTGACTGAGGTCTTTGTAGGACGAGATTCAAGAGTGCGATCCGCCAAGGTGAAGACTTCTAGCACGGAGCTACACCGCCCCGTTGTTGAATTGTGTTTATTGGATGGCTAGGACAGACACTTATCCTGATTGGCAAACGTGTAAACTGGCCTTGACATTTGCGGGGCCGCTGTCGTGTCTTATTTGTGTTTGCCCACTAAAATATTTTAAGAACGTAGCACGTGAATTCCAGCAATGCGAGTTCTAGCAAGTTCACGTGCACGTGACCTTTTTCGTTTCTTTTTTTATCAATAAGTACTTTGGAACTCTAGTTTTCGGGAAGTTGGTATCTAAGTTAGTTTGTAAAGTTTGCGAAGGGTTTTTGCAAAAGATTCAGAGAATTTCGAAGCGACGTGGAGCGACATAGGTAGAGAGGCTGATTTACGACGCTGTGGAACTCTGAATAAAAAAGGAATTAAACGTGGAGTTTACAGTTGTGAATATTAATCCCATTAGTATGAATCCAGACATCAATAAGAAAAAGGTCCAGATTGGGCACAGGCAAGTTACTCATTAGTCTTTCCTTGATTGAGTAAAAAGTTCAGCCCGCAAGTCACAAGACTTAAATGGAACCAATCATTGTGTCCCACACTAGCCTGTTTATATCGCAAACTTATTTTAGTATTTTATACTGCTTAGGCATCTAAGCATGTTTTATTAGCTATCAAGAAAGCAAGCAACAAGTTTATTCCTAGCTTCTAGTAAGTTTTAGTTCCCTCCCACCCACAGATAGCCATAGGAAGTTTTGATTCTTTTTTATACTTCATTAATCATTTGTGAATCATTTCTAACTAAAGTAGTTTTGATGTATCCATCAAATACCTTTGATGTAATAATCTAGTATGTTATGTACCTATAGGTAGGACATATATTAAAAAAATGCAAACAAGCCTCCCTCCGTTGTGGTGTTTCGACTTACATAGATTGAATGAAGTTCATTTGAGCAAATGCACAAATTAAAATTTTCAGGATTTGAACTTTACATGTGGATAATCAACAAAAGCTATCTAAAAATATTTTCATATATATTATCACCTAAATTGTTATAATTAAGCACTCATAAATCTCTTTATTTACCACAAATTGCACCCACTATGATTTTTGCACAAAACCTAGACTGCATCAGTCAATTTATCTATATGGAAACAAGTTATTAACTGTTCTATATGTTTCAATGGTCTATGTTTCAGTATCAGCTAGAGAGCTTCTCTGTCAATAGTATGTTTGAGTACAACTTGATTTATTAGCTTGTATATATAAAATAAGAGTTTTATTTTGCGAAGAATTAGTTGAATAGCAATCTTGTCATAGTAAAGGCTACCTTTATCTTGCTTATACTAATGTTACGTGGTTTAATAATAATTTTGTCATTGTCTAATATTTAACCGAGACAACACACTCCATGTCCGCGAAATGTTCCAAAGAATTGGAGTATGATTTCATTCTTCGACTTGACGTCTGTCTGCAGTTAATAGGGACCTTTAGCACTGACGACAAGAACGTGGACGACGACGTATATGACCGATTTAGGCCTGTGACGGGACCGTCGTCCACCGCGGGAAACATAAATACTTTAGCACATCGGTTACGTGGACGAGTCCTTTACTGCTTATTGGAAAATGCAAATATTATCCACTAAAACAATTTAACTTTTTTTCAGTGTTGTAATCAACGTCAAGTGATTCAGAGCTAAGCTAAGTTTACATACACAGTCGATCCGCGCGGTTCGGATATTTTTTCAAAGCCCAGAAATCTTGTTAAAAATGCCAGCTGGTATAATTACAAAACTATAACGAAATTTCCGCGATTTATTTTTAGGAAAGCATTTATAAGGCTAAGTACATACCCTGCAGCACTTTTATCATCATCCGCCATTGCTTTCTCCGCTGTAAACTGTAAAGCTCAATCTGCAACTCGAAAGAAATAAAGTTTTATTCCATCACGGTTCGATCAAATTACTTTCGGCACTGTTTTTATTCCCTAACCGACCCTTTAGATTGAAGAAATCCCTTAGATAGGTAAGTAGAAATTAGAAAACAAATAAAACATACTCACGTTCTCGTCAAGACGGCGAATGGCGGCAAATGGCGTCCTGAACGAGATGTGGACGACGACTCGTGCTCGATTGGGCATGCGTGGTAGCATCGAAGTTCGTTTTCCCAACTTCCGGTCGGTCACGTTCACGTTCTCGTCGTCA